TGCTGCACAAAAGGCAGACAAAAACCCCGGGCTCCCAGCCCTGTGCCCTAGTTAGGGTTACTATTGCTGTGCTGAAACACCATGGGCAAAAGCAAATTGGGGAGGGAAGGGTTCATTTGGCTTACACTTCCACATTGTAGTCATCACTGAAGGAAGTCCTGGCAGGAACTTGGATGGATGCTGCTTCCTGCCTTGCTCATCATGGCTTGCTCACCCTGCTTTTCCATCGAACCCAGGACCAGCAGCCCAGGGATGGGCACCTCCCACAATGGGCTGAGCCCTCCCCCATCAACCAGTAACTAAGAAAATACCCTACAGGTTTGCCTACAGCCCAATCTTATGAAGGCAATTTCTGAGTTGAGGTTCCCTCCTTTCAGAGGACTCTAGCCTGTGTCAAGTTGACATAAAAGTTGCCAGCATACCCTCAGAGTGGCAGTGAGGAGTTACAGAGAGCCACCAGGTGTTGAGGGCTCTGACACCCCAAACTCAGAGCTATACTCTTAGCAGGTGGCGGTGAAGCTTCAGAGCCTCAGGGTAAATCTACAAGGAGTTAAGCCTACAAAAAGTGAAATGTTAGGATGGCAGAGAAGCTAAGAGCAGAAAGGGAGAAGCACAAGGTTGGAGCTGAGGGCAGAAGCAAAAGTCTGAGTGAGCTCAGAGTTGAGATGCTGCAAGTTGGGGCCTGTAACTGGCTGTTGGGAGATGCACTGTAGGCCCAGAGCAGTAGTCTCTGCCATTAGCATCTAGAGCAGGCAGCCTCAGCTTTGAAAGTTGGACCATAGGTCACTAGTTCTCAAGGCTTAGAGATGTAACCTCTGGATTTGGAGGCTCTAGCCAGGTGTGGTGGCTCACACCTTTAATACCAGCACTTGGAGAGACAGCGGCAGGTAAATCTCTTTGAGTCCAGCCTGGTCTACTGGTGACTTCTGGAATTGCTGGGGTGAGAGAGGAGAGAGAGGAAGGCGGGGAGAGAGAGAGAGAGAGAGAGAGAGAGAGAGAGAGAGAGAGAGAGAGAGAGAGACCCTAAAAAACACAAAACAAAAAGCCCCCAACCAACCAACCACCACAAAACAGAATAAACTTTGGAATCAGGAAACACTGTAAGTTAGTCTTCCAAAGTAGCTGTTGTGTGTGGAGTCCTCTCACAGTGTGGAAAATTCAGTTGCTTCATCTCCTCATAGTCACTTGGTCATGGCTTCGATTTCATTATTTCTGTGGCCCTGCAGTGGTAGCTGTTTGTGATTCTAGTCTGCATTCCTCCTGACGTCATGCCCTTGGTTCTTCCTTTTCACTGGCTTTGACTGTTTCTCTCCACTTCCTCCTCGGTGCAGGGAAATGAACGCTGGCTTCTTTCCTAAAGGTCTTGTCTTGTCCTTCCTTCCTTCCTTCCTTCCTTCCTTCCTTCCTTCCTTCCTTCCTTCCTTCCTTCCCTCCCCCTCTCCTTCCCCTTCCTTCCTTCCTTCCTTCCTTCCTTCCTTCCTTCCTTCCTTCCTTCCTTCCCTCCCCCTCTCCTTCCCTCCTTCCTTCCTTCTTTCCTTCCTTCCCTCCCCCTCTCCTTCCCTCCTTCCTTCCCTCCCTCCTTCTTTCTTCCTTTCTTCTGCAAACCATTTCTTTTATTTGGGTTCTAAATCCTGTTCCATCACCCAGCGTTGCTTTCTGACCAGTTTGGTCCTCCATGGCCTCAACACCTCTGAACTCACTGCCTGCATTGTCTCCAGGTTTCAGTGGGTGTTGCTGATGAAGGGAAATCCCAGGGTGGAGAGCCACAAAGTAAACAGGGAAAGGAAAGTCTAAAAGAGAAGGCCCAGTAGCAAGCTTTTCAACTTTCTGTGTTTTGTTTTGTTGAGACAGGGCCTCACTATGCAGCCCTGGGTGGCCTGGAACTTGCTATGGAAACCAGGCTGGCCAGGAACTCACAGAGATCCTCCTGCCTCTGCCGCCCACATGCTGGGATTCTTGGTCATGTTTCTAAGTTTCTCAACTACCTTCTTCTAAATTAAGTATCCCAGGGACACTCCCCACCTCTACCCTCCTTTGAATCATGTATGAGTACATGCATGCATGTGCACATGTATGTAAGTTTATCTAGTTCTCAGCAAAAGAGTTGGTCTTAATTAGCTGATTCACCTTTTCCATAAATGAAGTTCCTCTTATTTGCAATAAGGGAACTTCAATTTCTGAAAAAAAGGTTAATCTATAATTGCATATGTAACAGAATAATGGTTAAAATTATTGAACATGGATGATTTTTTTTTTTTTTTCGAGACAGGGTTTCTCTGTGTAGCTTTGGAGCCTATCCTGGCACTCACTCTGGAGACCAGGCTGGCCTCGAACTCAAAGAGATCCGCCTGCCTCTGCCTCCCGAGTGCTGGGATTAAAGGTGTGCGTCACCAACGCCCGGCTAAACATGGGTGATTCTCGACAACATAATATGAGTGAAAATCTGATTTATAAAATCATACTTACGTAGACAACATGCATGCATATGGCTAAAAGTGTGAGTGTATGCACGGTGGATACGAATCTACCTCCGGCAGGTGCCACCTTGAGGAAGTAGGTGGGTAAAAGAAGTGATTGATGCTCTGGCTATTATATTGGTCAGTATTTTATTCATTTAAAAGAGTATATTATGGGACTGGAGAGATGGCAGAATGATTAAAAGCACTTGCTGCTCTTGCAGAGGACTTGGGTTCAGTTCTCACTACCCATATGGCAGCTCCAGTGGATCTAACAGGGATCTAACATGCCTGCAGGTGAAACATTCACACACATAAGGTTAGGTAAGTAAACCTTTAAAAATTAAATATAATAGGAGTATGTAACAACTGGGAGGTGGGTTTATGGATATTCATTCTGTCATTTGCCACATTTTCTTGAACATATGGAACTTGCTGAGTGGTGGTGCACACCTTTAAACCCAGCACTCAGGAGGCAGAGGCAAGAGGATCTCTGAGTTCAAGGTCAGCCTGGTCTACAGAGTTCCAGGACAACCAGAGCTACACAAAGAAACCCTGTCTCAAAAACAGAACAAAACAAACCCAACCAATCAAAAAGGTGGACTTATTAGCTTATTTGAAATGAGAAACTTATTTAAAATAAGTTTGAGAAATTTCATTAAAATAATGTTGTTTTTATGAGAAAAAAACCTTGCAGCATATCAATAATAATACCAAGTCAGAAATAAGACAAACTCCATCTGGAATACAGGGTGTTGTGTGCTTGTTTTTAATTTTAAGGTTTGAAGAAACTTAAAACCACACTCACGAGCCTGGCGATCTCAGGGTTGGTCAGCTGAAGGCCCCAGATGCAGATCTCCTTCCCCTGAGTGTAGCTCTCATCTCGAATGGTCATGAGCAAAGGCTCTAAGGAAACGGGCAGGTGGTTTGTTGTGGAGTCGCCAGCTCTTACAAGCATAAACTGGAGTGTAAGAAAATTATAGGTGGCCATCATAAAGAGACACTCATTCATCTGAAAGTGTGGACAAGGAATACTGCCACCAGATGGCTGGATGAATGTTTGAGGCAGTCACTACCTGTGCAACGGGTATTCCTGCCAAGGACAAGCGCATGGCACTATAGGTGAGGGTTACTACAGGTTACTGTCCACTATTAGGTCACCAAATCAATTTAATTTTGTACAACCAGCTGTTTCTTCTTTTTTTAGGAAATAGGCAGGAAAACCATTGAATTGCATCTTGCATAATAAGAATAATAATGATTGATTCATAAAGTTTTTAGTTTTTTTTAAAGAATTTATTTAACTTTATTTTATGTGCAGTGGTATGAAAGTGCCAGATCCCCCGGAACCGTAGATACAGACAGTTACAAGCTGCTATGTGGGTGCTGGGAATTGAACCCAGGTCCTCTGGAAGAGCAGCTAGTGCTCTTAACCACTGAGCCATCTCTCCAGCCCCAAGTTTTTAGTTTTAAAGATGTACCTATTTTAATTTTATGCGTATGAGTGTTCTGCTTGTGTGTATGACTGTGTGTGTGTGTGTGCAGTGCCCTTGGAGACTGGAAGAGGGAATTGGATCTCCTGGAACTGGAGTTATAGGAGCTCCCATGTGGGTGTTGGGAACCAATTTTGGTATGCTATTCAAGCAGCAAGTTTTTTTGTTTTCTTCTTTTTTTTTTTTTGGAGACAGGGTTTCTCTGTATAGCCCTGGCTGTCCTGGATTTACTCTGTAAACCAGGCTGGCCTCAAACTCAGAGATCCCCCTGCCTCTGCCCCCTTAGTACTGGGATTAGAGGTGTGTGCCACCACTGCCTAGCTAGCAGCAAGTATTCCTAATTGCTGACCTATCTCTCCAGCCCCTCCCAAGGCTCTTAATGATATTCATAATCAAAATGGAGAACCCCATGGGAGCATGCTTCCAACTTGCACAGCTCTTTTAGTTTTGTCTACCACAGATTCATGCTGAATGGGGATTTAATTGCATTCTGATGAGACTTGCAATAAAAAAGTTTGTTGAAGGTTAATTATGAGAACTATAGTAAAACCAAAAACTAATTAGTGGGCTTGAGAGATGGCTTAACGGCTAAGAGCATGTTGGGCAGCTAACAGTGTCCTGTAACTCCAGCTCCAGGGGACCTTCTTCTGGCCTCCATAAATACCTGCACTCATAGGTACACCTTCCCCCCCATATATATATAAATAAAAAATAAAATCTTAAAAAATTAATCAATATTATTTTGCCCCACAAAAGGATGATCGTGGGGCTGGAGTTAAGAGCACTTGCTCCTTTTGCACAGGACTGGGGTTTGGTTCTTGCACCCACAGTGGGCAGCTCCAGTCCCAGGGCATCTGATGGCCTCATCTGGCCTCTGCCTGCACCTGCACATGTGTGGTGCACATATAGACAACCAGGCATACACATACACATACATAGAACTTTTTAAAAGAATGGTTGTGGGAAACCCCTCACCGGAACACGGAGATATGTGTGGGAATGTTTGGTAGAAACTGGAAAAAGAAGGGACTAGAAAAACCTGGAGGGCGGATGAGGTGAGCGGGGAGGAACAGGTGGGAAGAGAGGCTAGATGGAGGAGGGTGTAACTCCGAGTGGCCAGAGTCAGAAGGGCTAAAAGAGGAACTCCAGAAGGAGATATTAGGTAAAGTTTTGTGGACTCATTCCAGGTTCCCCTCCCGCCAACACATTCTGGCAGTCGTGGGGAGTAGGTGCACGGGTTGGGTGGGGGCAGAAGAGTGGAGCAGGCCCTTTGTGTTCCGTGAGCAAAGCTGTGGATGTCTCTGTCAGGCAGTTCAGAGCTGGTGGGAGAGTGGGCTTTGGGCCTGAGGACGGAACCCCTGGGAGTCTATTTCAGAAAAGGACAGATGCCCCCCACTCACCTTCCTGAGGATCTGGTCTCTGTCGATGCTGTTCTTTAGGTCCCTTTGGATGGCAGGACACAGGGACGTCCGAGACAGTAAGCAGTGCTTCTGGTATGTCTTCAGGAACTTCTGAAGAACGGGAACCACCAATGGGGGATCCCCTTTGGGCTTTTGTTTTCTTTCCTTTGCTCTTGGCATTGTTTTACAGTGTTCTGAGTCCACTTGGCTTCTGAAAACAGCAACGTAAGCTGGGATCCAGCACAAAACATGCCTCACCCTTGAAATCCAGAAAACTCTGTTGCAAGCTCTTCTCTAAAAATCTTAAAGGCTTCACTTATCCTAAGTGGCCCTAGCAAGTTGAGTTAGAGCCGGCACAGAGACATTCAATTTCCATAGTCATGGGTCCATATTTTTGTTTGTTTCTTTATATTGTGGGCAGTATCCATGGACTCAGTTATGAGGAGGTAAAATAATATTAATTCAAGGTACTATTCAGTACCTATTAATGGGGATACACTGGTTTTAAAGTGGTGTTTACTGATTCGGTCCTTGCCAGACTGTACATACTGAAGTGGTTAAGAATGTGGACTTTGAGCTGGGAATGCAGTTTAGTTGTAAAATGTTTGTCTAGCACCCATAACACACAGTATATTAGTAAACTGTCATATGCCATTTAAGTTCACTGTGAGGATGGTTCTGCAAGTCCTCTTCCCTTCAGATCTAGGCATGTTTATGTCAAGTGGCTTCCAAGGCCCCTGTCTAGGGATGGGCTGGACCCCTAACTCTGTGACAAGGAGGAAAGCAGACAGTGAAACACTCTAAGACTTAAAACACATGACTTTGAGGACAGCTAGAAATACACCACCTCCAACAGCCATCACTATGTTTTTCTTATAATAGAAAAATTCCTGCCATTGGAAAAAGAAGCAAAGCTCAGCCATGGGAAGCTCATCTGTGGAGAGAAAGCTCAACCAGCTGCCTGCCTCAACCTCCCCAGTGGGTTCCCTCCCTCCTTCCTTCCTTCCTTCCTTCCTTCCTTCCTTTTCTTTCCTTTTTCTTCTCTTCCTCCTTCTTCATTATTGCTTGTTTTTCAAGATAGGGTTTCTCTGTGTAGCCCTGGTTGTCCTAAAACTCGCTCTGTAGGCCAGGCTGGCCTTGAACTCACAGAGATCCACCTGCCTCTGTCTCAGCTCCTACTCCTGTTCTTTAAAGCATACAGTCTACACAGTCTACTTCCTGGTGATCCGGAAGAGGTTTAAAGGTTAAAGAACCCACATGGTGAGCCCTTCTTGGTCCCTGCCTTATCGGCGTGTGCTGCTTACTATGTATCCTGCTGACTGGCTAGGTGCTCAGTAAGTAAGGCAAATTCCTTAATAAAATACCCTAATCTTATTGGTGAGTCACCGTTTATATCTGGTTATAATTCTCTGTTTTTGCCATGTGGGTTTGAGAATTAAAAACAAATCTCCAAGCTTGGCGGCAAGTGCCTTCTACTGAGCCCAACAAGTAGGGTTTTTTTTTTTTTTTCAAAAATTATTTTATTTAAATGATTGCCTGACAAGATTTTGCCAACTGCTGCAACAGTGTCAGGAATGATATGGGAGTTACCAACTATTTTTTGACTGGATCTAATGTCCAATTCACGAGGTGGAACTTAGGCCTGGCTTTGTTTATGGGGTCAAGAGTATATGGATAGATAGGTTATAGGTCCTAGGGGGAATACACATCCTTAAAATGACTCCTAAGGACCTACTACTATACCCATAGACTTGTGTATTCAAAAGTCCTAGCAAGCATATCACCAGGACACTGCCCTCAATTCACACTCCCAGGACCTGTTTTGTGCTTCCCTGAAGGAGGGTTCTCCTGTGCTCCTTTAGGCAGAGCTCTCTGACCCCCACTACCACAGATTATGTCCTCAGTCTTATTTCCAGAGTGAGACTCAGTAGAGGGAGAATAATAGTATTAGTTTCTCCTCTAGGACCTGCAACATGTCTAGCCAAATGTTCTTAGCTCCTTAACAGTGCCAGGCGCAAACTCCACCTTGTGGAGAGCGGGTTGGAGACAATCAGAAAGGAGCTGATAACTCCCACAGCATTTGTGCTATGGTTGCAACCCTTCAGAGAAGCTTTTTCTTGAAGTAGAAGACAATGGACACAAAGTGTCCTTATCTGGTCAAAGTGTGGCGCATAAGAGACTGTGGAGTGCTCGTTTCTAAATGAGTCACACCATCACACCCTTTCTCCCACAGTTCAGGGAACTTCTCCAAAGAAGGGGCACAAGGATGGATTCCAAGAGCCAGAGGTGCTGGGTGACTTCAATGAAACCTTGCTTTCCAGACACAGCAGGGCAGACACACATACGAGTCCACAGCAATTGTGACAATGTGCATAAGATGTTTGCAAACCCAAGCCAGACAAAAATCACAGCATGGTAAGGGAGGGGAGGTGCTCTTGAAATGCCACCACTAGCTGAGGAGTTACTGGCATTTCACTGCTGCTGGGAGAGAGAGATTGTCAACCTTAGGTCTGCCACACTCCAAGGCAACTCCCAATCCCGAGAGTAGCTGGGCAACACGAACTGAACTCAGTGGGGAAACAAAAGGAAGAAAACTCAAAATTAAGTGTGTGGGGAGGTGAGGGTGGCAGTGGGGGAGTTGGGGGGGTGAATATGATGAAAATTCATGTGAAATTCTCAAAGAATTAACAAAGATATTTTAAATTATTGAATGATGTGGGAAGAGAGAGAAGGAGGGAGCAGAGAGACAGGAGACACACACACACAGAGACAGAGAGACACCATGCCTGTGTGGAGATCAGAGGGCAACTCTATGGAGTCCATTCTCTGTTTCCATGATTTGTTTTGGAGATCCAACTCAGGTCGGTTGTTAAGCTGTCATGTCAAATAGTGCTGAGCCATCTCAAAGGTCCAAGATAATTAGGATTTTACCAAGCAGTTTTTAAGGGCCTTTCTGCATGCAGTTGGGGCCTGGGTGCTCCAAAGCCAATCACAATAAACCATAAATAAACTCTTACTCAAGTCTCAGGTCTGTGCCTTACCTGTGCAGCCAGGCTTTATCATCTCATCTGGAGGCTGC